ATGTTTTGACTCGTGCATCTGTTTTTAGTTCGTAGTGAAGCTCCCCCACACACACACACACACACACACACACACACACACACACACACACACACACACACGCATACAGGTGTAGAAACGAAGAACCGTAAGTCCTTTTGAACAGTATGTATTTAAATCCTAAGCGCTCAGAGCCGTTGTTTCCTTCTACCTGCTGAAACAGTCTTCAAACACGCTAACCCTCTTCCCCGTGCCAAACGAACACCATTAAGTCAAAACAGACTCAAATGCAGCTAAAAAAGACACACAAAGCCTTTGGTGTAGTAAAGAAAAAGAAGAAGAGGAGGARAAAAAAAAACTTCTCATCTTGGTAAGGCGAGACGAGGCGCCTGTCAGCATGGTGCCTCCTGCTACTACAGAGAAACATCAGGAAACAACAACTCAATTAAACACACTATCCCTGTTCAATTACTGCCACATAATCACTGCAATTTACCTTCACTCACCGCACAGCTCCACCAAACAAACACACACGGGGGCGAGCACACTCAGGGAGGTGGAGACAAACACACAGAAGGACACGGCTGGATCACAARGACAAGCGAGCTGGAGCTGGGGCTTCATTATACACTTGGTGGGCATAAATGCAGGTAGGAAGCGGTTTAAGTGGACAGCTTATTTACTGTACCATCATAAAACAACTTCCCAGTCAAAAGAATCTAAATAGTAACCAGGCTATCCCAGTTTCTTTCCAAGCAAACAAATCCTTCTAATTAAACKCTAAATGAAGGAGGATTCAGTGGATTTGAGGATTTCTGATGCTCTGGTAATTAGAAGAACATTATCAACTGTTGCTATTATATCACTGCATATATGAAAAAAAAACTTCTACAATGCTCCTCTGTTTTATTCCTATCACATCAGACTTTCTCTGAAAGACATATGCATAAAACTACACTTACTAGTTTGATTTAGTCCCCCAAAATTGAATAAAACAAAATAAAAAACAGTGAAAAAGTCTCAAGCCTGCTCAGATTTATTTACATCCAGTTAGGAATGAATCTAACATAACGATACATTCATGTTATGAGTTAAAACCAGTGTTTGGAGAGTTAAAACTAACTTATGTTACGACCACAAAGTCCCAGAAACTTTAGTACCCTCAATTTCTGCTTTGGGGAAAAATCAACTCTTATTGACGTTCATTATAAACACATTTTCTGATCCAATATTTATCAAATAAAATAGTGCATTTCAGTGTTACCTCTTTCCCTCTACTTTTGATTTTATTTGAGCCTACTGAGTGACGCTCTACTTTTACATATGAGGGTCACTGTAATAAAATCAATGCTAGCAGCTCAAACACCCAAAAGGCACATGCTTCACATAACTCTAAACAGGTGGGTTTTCAACTGCATATTGCTCTTGAACTCGGTCTCTCATCATTCAAACTGTTTTAGTCCTACAGGAAAGAGCAAAAACACAATTGTGTTTTGCAAAAGTGTACATTTGGTATAAAACAATATAGCTCTACCTGATTTCAGGACTGTAAAATCAGCCACGCCTGTCAGGAGTCAGGCTGAATTCTGTTGGCTTGACCAAAAGCCTGGTATCGATGGCAGCTGGACCGAACGGTCACAACTCGGTGTTCAACCAGTTCAGTGAAAACAACAAACAAAACACTGACTGACACGTGCTAGTTTGTTCAAAAACAAGGCCTCATTTTTGACCACCAGATCAGGAGGTCCAAGGGGCTGGATAGTCTTTCCAAAACTCAGGACTGGAATTTTTTTTTCTAATGTCAAGAAAGATTCTCTGTGGCATACTGGGAAAAATGCCTTCTTTTCAAAATTGCCATAAAATAAATATTTTTTTCAGCTTAAAAATCTTTATATATATATATA